CAACTCACATGAATATGAGTAACATTTGTGACCTCTGAAATGCAGCAGATTGCACCAGAGAGCAGGTATTGCCGAGATATTTGCCAGAGCTGTATCCCTGACCCACAGGAGTGTGGTTTGTGCGAATTGCGCAGTGCAATCTCTGCTCGCTCCGTGTCACAGGCGGGTGAGGGTCCTGGGGGCACGAGTCTCCATCATCCTGCTCTTTGCTGTCACCAAAGCTGTGCAGCAGCATGTGGTGTATGAATTTCAAGCTAATAAATATGTAGACACGGAGCTTGCTCTCTGTCTCTTTGGAGGAACCAGTTTCAGCGCTGGGAGCGAGGTGCTTCTCCAGGCGTTCTGGTAGGGCACCAGACCTCGTGACTCCTGTCTCAGTACAGCTGGAGCTGGGAAATCTTGAATGGAAGGCTCCAGCCTGATGCACTGCTGAGAAATGACATTGGTGGAATTCTCTGACTTCATGGAGTTGCTTCTCCTTTGCGCTATGTGAGAGCAGTTCCCGATTTAGACTGGAGCAGAGCCTTTCATCATTGTCTCATTAAATTATCATTTTAGCATCTAATATGGCTAATTCTAGTGGCAAATCTATGACCCTCCAACAGTAAAGCAAATTAATATAGATTCAGGCTCTGTTGAGCTCAGCTTTTAGTCCATTGTGAGGGGAAAAGACATCAAATGACCTTTATGAAAACCAAGCTCAGTGCCCCTGAGTACTCCCGACTAATGCAGTGGGCTGGTTCTAGAAGCACTTAAAAGGTGTCTTAGCAGTTTCTAATGAGAACACGAATACTGGCCCCTGTTGGAAGGTGCAGATGTGTGTGCTGGCAGCTGGACTTCATTTGCATCTGTGGTTGATTGCAGGTCGGTGCAGAGCCAAACTGTATTTCCTAGATCAAGATTTATCTGTGACTTTGAAAGCTTTTTCACTGGGTAGATAGAATTGTAATTTATTGCTTAGAGGAAGCATTGATCCAGTACAATTGGTTTAATAAAAAAAATTCCAGACAAACAATGATCTGTCTAGTTTGCAGCTGACAGAAGCATATGGGTTGTAGCTGCTGTCCAGAATTGCTTTCAAAAAAAAGTGTAGCATGCTGCTTTTAGAAAGACCTGAGAACAGATACACTATCTGAGGGACCAAAATAGTCCAAACAGTGGATGTAAATAGAACTGCACATTATTCACTGCCCACCAATCTATTAACTTCTTCACAGAAAAGGAAGGTTCTGCCTCCCTGAAAACAATGGGAAATGCCTCACTTGGTAACAGACCCAACTACAGATTTTACAATTTTTCTTTTCACTGTTCTCCCTTACTTGTAATATTTGTCTGCAAACAGATCCTTTATTTCATTTGCTTCCTCTTCCAGAGCTCCCTAGCTGCTGGGACCCTGGGGACATTTCTGCGCACCAAAAGAAATAGGTGCTCAGGTGCAAGGTGTAAGGTAGGGGAAGAACAAACCCATTGCTTCCCGCCGTGCTGCAGTGTCACTC